TCATTATAATTTTTAAGTAAATTAAGTATATAATTGGTAAACAAAAATAAAAACAAAAGAAAAATTTGTAATAATAAAGAATAATTTGCTGTTGTACAATACAAAAATATTTAGAGAGAGACAATGTTTTTCTTATACGAAAAACGGACAGATAGCGTTAGTATAATCTAATAGAATAAGTAGAAATGCAGAAAAATTAAAAATTTTTCTCTTGACGTGTCGAACTTGGTCGCAATGGCCTTCCGTCTTTTTTCATCTTATTGCACGGAATATTACTGTATATAGACAATTACTAGAGAAATTCGAGTTTTGTTTTGAGAAAAAGATTAATTCCAAGTTAAAATCAATCAAATTTTTAAGTTCGAAATTGAATTTCTTAATTTTGGAATCTTGATGATCATAAGACACTGAATTAATTTTTTTGTTCTATTTTCTACTTTATATTATGTATAAAGTCAATTTGATTAAAAATTCAAATTTGATGTTACCTTGAACTCATAGCAATATTCATTGATAAATCGAAAATTTTCAAAATTCCGTCATTTTTATGAATGAAATTCAATATATACTTATATCAAAACATACATATATGTCTGTACATAAGCCATTAAAAAGAGCATGCCAACTTATGACAAAAATTGAAGTTTATTAAATTTATTACTAATCGATTTTAATTTATTTTTTGTTTTTGTGTATATGAGACCCAACTTTATATTCAATCAATCTAAAATTTAACATAATTCACCCACTTAATTTATGAATGTACATATATGTATGTAATCGTATGGGTCATATAAGATCACGAATTTCAAAAAATTTATTAAAAGTTTACTACTGTGATGATGATGCTACTTAAGATCGTTATAATTTTTATTATTAAACTAGTCATAATTAAAATTGAGGTTCATTGAATTTGAATGGGAAAAAAGAGAAAAACGAGTCAGAAGTTGACTTAAAATTAAAATTCCATAGCCGTGTTCAATGATTTGTTCTAATTTTATTCACAATCAATTAATATCACTTGATAATTCAATCGCGTTGGATATAATATAATCAAACGAATAATAAAAATAGTGACTACTTAGTATAAAGAACAAAAAAAAGAAAAAATTTAAGATTTCATGTTACATGTGTTACAGATAATTGCAATAGAAATTCCACAATTGAATTAGAACAATTTTTTTGGTAGAAAATTCTGTGATCGAAATACGATACGAGACATTGTGATTCGTAGATGACATTGTTATTCGAATAATCCAAATTTTTGATTTATTGAAAGTTGACACCGTTCACGTCTATACAGTTTAACTAGGTCCAAAGTGTGTACTTAGAGTTAGGATTTGGAACTACACACATTTTCCTCTACTCTGCGAATTTCATTTGGCTAAGGCATACGATGTATGCAGCCAATTCGGCTCTACGTATTCACATTAACAAACGTAAATGCAAAGTAGTTGCTTTGTGTACTCAATCAGTTAAATTACAAAATCAGTGTATGAAACTGTAGGTAAAGGCATAGATATTAATTTAAAGAAATGAATACAACAAAAAGACACCATCACCAATCAAAAAAAAATATTTAATTTCATTTTTTTCTAAATCTGAAAATAAAAAAATTGAAAACAAGTTAAATTTTTATAAATAAATGACTAAAACGCTCATATAACCATCATTTCAAATTTAAGGTTGATTACACTGATTTCATGCTGATATTTCTGGCCACTGTCTACTTCCCCCAACTGTGTTCGTTTTTTCATTTTTCATACCAAGTTTATTTTTTTTTCTTAAACGCTTTCCAATAAAATATCTATGTAATTTATATGTGAATGCGGCATATAGAGAATATGTAGGAATGTGAATATATGATATGAATGGCCATGATTCAATCTTTATGGTGCCTATGGGTAATTTTTATATTCATAACATGTAAATTTTGTGTCTACTGTATGCGTCAAAAATAATTTTTATATGGTTCATTACAGCAGTAACAACATCAACTTCTTTATAATTGACTAGAAGGTAAGTAATAGCATCACATATAATCGAGTCATCATCATCATCATCATTATTGTTATTATTCCAGTTATCGTTTTCATCATTAATAGTAATCATACATACATGAGTATTACATTCATTTGCATCATTCTTATAATAACGTTACTATTAAAGTAAATACAAGTAGATAATGGCACCCAAAAAGGTTAAATAGTGAACAGCGTCTCAGATATAGCTTATTACGAGTAAGTATGTTGTGTATACATGGTAGTTGAGTTTATTTTTTTTTTATAAACTTTTCAAAAACAAATTGATGAATTTTCTAATAATTTGTTAAATGAAATATTTTTTTATGCTTTGAGAACTTAAGGAATGTTCAATATTATTTGTAAAGATATTCAATGGAAACAGAAAAGATAAGAAAAAATAAGTTATAGGCAGGGAGAAAATGAAATGAATTCTAATACATAGGTTTAAGTGAATGTATAAGATAAAGCAGATTTAAGTTGGCGCGCGCTAAGTATTTTGTTAAGCGTTTTTATTCACTTTATACTATAATTAGCTCATCAATTAGGAAAATGAAATCTGGAATTCTAGATTTTTTTTTATTTTCACTTTTTTTTGTTATTTAGTTTTGTTAAATTTTGTATATAGAACAAAAATTTGAACTATCCAGAATCTAAAATATTTTAGATTCTGGTACAAAAAATAAATTAAAGAGAAAGAAAATACTTTCAAATCTTTAGTAATATTTTCGAGATAGGTATAGAAAATATTCTAATGTTGTGGACATTCGCTATAAGTATTATAAGGAAACAAAAACTTTTATTTGATTTTAAATAAATCGTGACTTTATCAATTTTCATATTTCTTGTTTATGAAAAAAAAAACTCCAAAATATTTAAAAAATTATGAATGAAAAATGTTTCAAATTCTTCGAATATTTCAAAATTATAGGAAGAAGAAAAAAGATTTACATTCAAAATATTTTTATGGAATTTGACTAATGTTTTTGTCTGGCCTATACGTAAAGTAGATCATCCCGAAAACTTTAATTTGATGGATTATATCCGAAGCAACCTATTTCAGTAGATTAAACAAAAAGGAATGTTAAATTTAAGAAATAAATTTTAAATACTTTATGTGCAAATATGTAAGTGTTTGTGACTTAAAACTTGTACGACTCGTACGGATCTGCATTCTGCAATACTAAAGGCAGGAATACTGATCATCATCATCATCAATGGCTCTACAAACCGGAATGGGCTTTGGCCTCGTTCTTGCGCCAGAGTTCGCCAGTTTCGTGCGCCTATTCGCCTAGCATCGTTATCCACGCAGTCGCTCCATCTTAATTTAGGTCTCCCTGGTCTTTTTAAAAATATCTTCTTTGTGGGGTGGGTCTCCTCACATCGGATGATATGTCCTGCCCATCTCTTTATACAATTCGTACAACTCATTGTTGTACCTTCTTCTCCATACTTGGTTTTCTTACTTTGCTCCATAAATCTTGCTGAGAACGTTTCTTTCAAAAATATTTATATTGTTTTCTTGTTCTTTAGTTAATACCCAAGTTTCATAGCCATACAGTAATACTGGAAGTATCAAAGTTTTATATAATTTTATTTTTACTTGTTTATCAAGTAGGCGTGAAGATAATTGCTTGTATAGACCATAATAACATATGTTTGCCTGGATCAGTCTTCTCGATACTTCGTCTGCGACATTATTTTGATTGTTAACTAGGAAACCTAAGTAAACAAATTCTTGAACCACTTCAAAATTATAATCGTTTACTCTTATATTTTGGTCATTTCTTTCTCTGCGTGTTGATATCATAAAATTCGTCTTAGATTCATTGATACTTAGTCCAATTTCCTTTGCTTCTTTTTCAATTTTTATAAATGCCATTATTGTTTTTCCAACTATATCTATATCGTTCGCATATCCCAATATTTGAACAGATTTATTAATTATAGTACCGGAAGTCTCTACTCCTGCTTTTCTTATGACTCTTTCTAGCGCAATATTAAACAGTTGACAGGACAGAGAGTCTTCCTGACGTAGCCCGCTGTTTGTATCATTTTCGGGGATTTTATCTTGTATTTTAACTACTCTGTTGACATTTTGGAGCGTCATCGCTGTTAATTTTATCAATTTTGTTGGGTAGTTAAAGTCGATCACAGCTTCTATTAGTTTTCGTCTGTCAACGTTATCATAGGCTGCTTTAAAGTCGATGACAAGATGATATGTATCAATTCCGAACTCCTTTGTTTTTTCTAAAATTTGCCTGATGCCAAGTATTTGGTCAGTGGTCGACGAGCCTGCTCGAAATCCACATTGGTAATTTCCAAGTATTCTCTCTGTGAATGGTTTTAGCCTTTCTCCTAGAACTATTACTAATATTTTGTACGTCACGTTTACCAGCGTGATTGCCCTATAGTTCTCGCAGTCCCCCTTTTGTGGAGGGGGCATATTATACCCGTATTCCATTCAGAAGGCATTGTTTCAGTCTCCTATATTTTTTTTATTAATCTTAAGATTTCTTTCACTAGTTTATCTCCCCCATACTTTACTAATTCAGTTGTTATGTTGTCCAAACCTGGACTTTTGTTATTCTTGAGTTTGTTTACTGCCGCTTTGACTTCTTCTATTGTCGGCTCTGGCTCTTCTTGCATGTTGCTAGGGAGGATGTTTAATGTTATGTCCGAAACTGTTTCCTTATTAAGGTGTTGTTCAAAAAATTTTTTCCATCTTTTGATGATGTCCTATGAATTATTCGGGATCTCTCCGTTTTTGTCTTTGCACATGATCGTCCTAGGCTTAAATGCTTTTCTTGCTCTATTTATCTTCTGGTAGAACTTCCTTATGTGTCCATTGTCCTTCAAATTTTCAATTTCTTGCATTTTGTTGTTTTCATAACTTTTTTTCTTTCTCTTGTGAATCCTTTTTTCTTTATACAATATTTCTAGTGCTCTGGTTCTTCTGTGCTGCAGCTTCCTATATATTTAATTTTTTTGATTCGTGGCTTCTTCACATTCGTTATCAAACCATTCATTTTTTCTTTCTCTGGGTTTTATCCCTAAAATATTTGATGCTGCTGTTTTTATTGACGATTTAATTGCGTTCCATTCTTCTTCGACATTAGTTTCGTTTGATAAGTTCCATCTTTCTAGATTATTGCTCACGTCTCTTTCGTAATTCTTTGCGTATTCTTCTTCCTTCAATCTATTTGTATTGAATTTTTCTTGTCTTACTGACGTAGCTTTTTTTGCATTAGATATTCGTGCCCTTAGTTTTAATCTTATCATATAGTGATCGGAGTCTATATTTGCCCCTCTGAATGCCCTGACGTCTAATGCACTTGATTTATGTCTCGCATCTATAAGATAATGATCAATCTGGTTGAAAGTATTACTATCTGGCGACTTCCATGTAACAATATGTATCCGTTTATGCTTAAACATTGTACTTGCTATCAACATATTTTTTGAAGCTGCGAAAAATATTAGCCGCTTACCGTTGTCATTAGTTTGTTCATGCATGCTGAATTGTCCAATTTGATTATTATATGTATTTTTGTGTCCAATTTTTGCATTGCAGTCACCAATTATTATTTTTATGTCATTCTTAGGGCAATTGTCATATATTTTTTCGAGTTCTTCATAAAACTCTTCCTTTTCTTCATCTGATTTGTCCTCTGTTTGTGCATGTACATTTATGATGCTAGTATTAAAGAATTTTCCTTTTAAACGGAGACAACACATTCTTGGATTCTCTTCTTTAAAGTCTATGACTAGGTGTCTTGCTCTATTCATCAGAACAAAGCCGGTTCCTAGTTCGTGCTTCCGTTCGTCATAGCTGTAGTAGATATCACATTCACGTTTTTTTAATATACCATTTCCTGTCCATCTCATTTCTTGTATAGCTGTCACATCTGCTTTGTATTCTCTCAAAAGTTTGATTAAAGTTCATGTTGTACCTGGTTGATACAAAGTCCTTACATTCCATGAAAAAATTTTTAAATCATTGTTCAAATCCTTATTCCTTGTACTTTGCCGAGGTCGATTACGTGAATTCGTCCTGATTATCCGAGGCTCATTTTGAGGTCTCATGACATTGGTTTTTTACTGACTAGGTTGTTAGCCTTGTGCAAGCCCCGCAATTCGGAGGACCGTTGTGTAGTAAACCTCGGTATTTAGTCCAGGGTGGTGTCATCTATGGTTATATTGCCAATTCTCGGTCGCCATTGCCTCATTTGTTTGAAAGAGGTTCCGCTGCGTGAAGGCTGAGGAAGGCATTTGGTTGGACTCAGCTATATATTCGCATCACCAACCCTTCAGAACCCGCAATACTGATCAATTACAATAATTAGTATGAATAATTTGTAGATTATATATATAAATAATAGACAAAAAGTTACTAACCTTGCAAGTAAAGTAATTTCGTGTTATCAATGTCAAATTCATGAAATTTCGAAGTCCAATTATCAATTTTAACAAAATCCACAAAAATCACTAAACATATTTATTAATACAATGTTGGGCAAATTGTACCTAAAACCTAAAAATTAAAAAAAATTTTAATCATAAAATCAATTTTAAATCATAAAAATGTTTCTCATATTTAATATAAAAAAAACTGCCTAATCACCTTTCTTTTTATTAATAAAAGCGCCATAGAACTTTACAAAGCTGACTTGCTTAAAAGAAGCAAAAATTTTAGCAATCACAGCATGAGAGAATAATATTCCGTTTATTTTAGAATAAAAATACTCACATATATTAGCCTTTTTACTGTTTGGCTCAACGGACAATACCGCACTCTCAATTTTCCGTGACATTTATTAATTATTGCAGAAACCTGGCGGAAAACGTTTGAAATTCTTTTCATATATGTACATATGTATACTTCAAAATTAAAATTATTAATTATTAAATATTTTGTAATAATAAAAATTTGTTTTATTTCTTTTGGTTTTCAGAATTCACTTCATAAAAATATCAAATTTTTGATCATCATTCACAATTGAATAAACAAACTTTGGATGATAACTGACATTTATACGACTACACAAACATTTTTGTAAACATAAAACACAAGCATTCCATGGGAGAACATACCAAAAACTTATTTTTCTTATTTTTTTATGCTTAAATCAAAACGCGATTAAGCGTTCCTTTTAGCTTAATCATTAAAAAAAAATTCTCATCATCTTAACCAAATACACGAGTGTATGCAAGCATGTTTTTGATTTGTTTTTGTAATTTAATTGAAATCCTTAAAGAAACATTTTATAATACTACAAAATAATCAAAACAAACATGAAGAAGGATCACACGTTACAAATATTTTTCCATAGTCACATCTCATCCTAAAACGAAAATAAACATTTCACCAAAACCAAAAAAAAAAATGTGTTAGGGATTGATTGTTTTGGTTGTCTCTTTTGGGGAAACAAAAATTTCCAGTCTAAAATGATTGATTACATCAGAACTGAAATTCAAAAAAAAAATATTGTAGGAAAAAAAACCTATCTGTCAACAAATCTTTTCAACTGATGTCATTGAAAGTCAATCAACTAGTTGTTGTTAAATTGTTCCTGCTTAAATTTAAATTCAATAGGATGCACGTATATTGCATACCACAATATACAAAAAATCAAAATAAAATACGGGAACTGAGGTCTAAGATTTTATTCTGCTTTTTTTATGTTGTCTATATAAAAAATTCCTTTGAGTCTTTTGGGATTAACATACGGCGTTTTTCTACTTTGTTTTCTATAAGAGTTTGAGTTCCTTTAGGGATTTTTAAATATTAAAATAAAACCTAAAGAAAATTGTCATCCAGATGATTATAGCCGCAATTTAAACTATTTGTATTAGAAAAAGGAGAAAATTCCTGATGAAGATCCAAAAATCCTTAGATTGTTTTTTTAATTCATATTATAGAGGATTGTTATTTATAGATCAATTGAAAATCAAAATTTACATGAATGGTATTTCCAGCATTACGTAACTTTCCCTGCCAATTCATTTTTTTCCTAAACCCCATTCCATTAATTGAAAAGGTAAGGAGAAAAGGCTTATTGAATCACTAAAAAAATTAATGTTATAGGTTTTTCTTTTGATCAAAACAAATGTAAGGAGCTTCAATGCGCTTGGAGAGAGGGGATTTATTGATTCTGTTTACAAAAAGACATGACTTTGTAAAGAAGCTTGAACGTCTCGCGACAACTGCAAAACCGCCCGATCTAAATCAAAACATTGAAGACGATTAGTGATTCTCTGGGTTTTTTCAACCAAGTAAAAATAAATAGTTGGAATATATAAAAATACAAAAAATTCTACTTGTGTACTTCAAAGGATCAATCTAGGCCACAAATCGTCATATTTAATTAGAAAGTAATTGTTTTTGACTTGTTACAGTTTGCTTTCCAGAGAAACGTATTTTACGACAAGAATTTGTCTATTGAATTCGGACATAAAACAAGAATTTTGATATGACTGAAATCCAGGCTATAAACAATTTAAAATCCAAATTTACAGTGTGATGACTTTGGTATTAATATTTGTCCGATGACTGTAATACTTTAGCTGTCGGGAGAATGGAAATTAATCCTTCATACCTCAATTAAAGCAAAAATTCATTATTTCCTAAGGTTTCTCCAAGGAATTTCATTCAAAAATTATGATTATTAAAATTTATTTTACATTGGTATTTTAGAAATTTATAGTTTAAATTTTTGATCCATCTTAAAGTGATACATCATAAATCTAAAAGAATGAAAAAAACACAAAAATAACAACAAGTGAAAAAAGAGAAGAAGGTCTCACGATAGGTCAACTGTCACAACTTAAATGTATACGTAAGTAGTTATGTACATTTATATGAGCCTAAAATAATTTCGATATCAACATTGAACATAGCAATCAAAAACCATCAATGATACTAAATGAAAAACAACTAAACAGCTAGCAAATAACAAACAAAAAAAGCCAACTTACGCAGCAGGTGATCTTAATTTCTCACTGTTCAGTTGTAATACAATATGAACCCACAATATAAGATACACCACATATAATATGATGTATGGAAGGTATTCAATAGTTTAAAAGTACATTTCAAATAATTTTTTATTAGATTCTACTGAATTCTTTTATTAGAGTAAGAAACTTTTTTCTATATAAAATATATACAGACACAGTATAATATGGAGAAGATAACACAATTGGCTTTTTTGTTCAATCTTTATAAAATGCCAAAGTTATAATGTACGTATTGAATGTATGTAAACAATAGGCATAAAATACATAACAGAGTAAAGTCCTTTGTACTTTTAATATTTATTTTATAGAGGTTAGACAATGCACTGTCAGCGTAAACTATAAATTAGCAACTAAATTTTAGCTACATATATGAAATGAGAAAAGTATGCAAAATGTCAAAAGATAAATTAAAATAATGGCTACTTAGTAGGAATCTAATGTGTCTTCTTTATAATATGGTTGTATACTTATAAAAAAAAGTCCTTTTTATTCTTTTCTTATAAGGACAATAATAAAAGGGAACTGAATTGTGAACTGATTTGAGTGTACATTATGATAAATTAAGGAAATTTCATGTGAATATACGAGTAATCAGTCAGATTTAATGACATTTTCAATTGAAATACTAGATTTTTAACATTAAATTAAAATAAAATTTTCTTTTCTCTTTTTGACATTTGATGACTTCTTCAGAACTTCAATTTTTTTATTTGTTAGTTTCAATCAAAAAAGATTTAGCTATTCACAAGTAATAAACGTTTTTCTGTCAACTTATTTAAATAAACAGAATAGTGTTGCCTCGCAAGAAATGGCATTTTAGAAATTCTGTCGATGTGAGCGATGTAAATATTTTTCTGAATTTAAAAAATTTTAAATAATTTTTCATTTCTATGGCAAAAATTAAGCGAAAACTTCTTCCTTCAATTATGCTAATATTATTAATGAGTTGCACTTAATTGTTAGTTTGAGAGAGGGCATAAACAAAAGGACTGTCTAAAGCCTAAAGTTGTGACAGCACTTCCGTGCCCTCCTTCACGGAATATAAGCACAAAAACAGTATAGAGCAGAATTAATGGTTAGTCAGTTCGACTAGTTTTGGGAGTTTGTGACCATCCAGGTACGTTTTAGGTTGTTAAATTCTCCCCCTATTTATAGGTCTGATGATAGTTTGGGTCCGCCCATCTTTGTCTTTTGATGATTTTTAACACCTGTATTAAAACAAAAAACTTATTGTTAGCGTTCATATATAATAAGTATGGTAAAATGTTGTGTGTATACTACTATAAAATTATATAATTGGCGCCAAATTTTATTAAATAAACTTTAAAAAGAATTTTATTTTTTTTTTTCATTTTGATTCACCTTTTACTTCTTGTGAATCCATATCTTGTCTACAGCGAAATGCTGCTCATATTTTTTCAAAAAAAAACTAACTTTATCTGCGTGAAATGATCTTTTAAGATGATTTTTTAAGGTGCAAAATAATTCATGTTGAAATTATTATTATTATTATTTCTATTATAAAATAAGTATATTTAAGCCTCTAAAAATAAAAATCACATGTTCTAGATAAATAAAATCAGGCAACCAAGAAACAAGACCACAAAATGCACTTACAACACACTATCTGGTATTAATCAGATACGAAAACCTATTGAAAACAACAATAGTAAATCCTTTTAAAGGATAGTACAATAAGTACACCCTCAAATCTACCATCATACAGAGTTCTTTTTACATTTTCGTCTTCTTTTCATTACAAAGTTCTGAATTCATTAGTTTTTTTTTCTCTTAGGAAATTAAATTCTTATTAAATATAAGAACAATGGTTAATAATATGAGATTAGGCCTATTGAATTTTATGTAACATTACTTTTTTCTAGAACTATAGACGGCTCAAATTAATTTGTTCTCAATTTTTTCCCTCTTCAGAAATAAGTATATATAAAAATTGGAGATATCGGATTCCGATAATCCCATTCATCATATTATATTGTAAGCTTGTCTAATAACAATCGCGTAACATTATAAAAAGAAAACATACTATTAAGTTATCCTTTTACTAA